TATAGGGGGGGCCCCCCAAACACAGAAATACCAACTTCCCCCCCCCCCCCCACCCCACAACCGCTCACATCCATGCCAGTCTGACCATGGGGTAAAATCCCTCCTGACCCCAGATGCAGTGATCAGTCTGACCCTGGAGCAGGAGCATCAGCACAGCTCAGTCACCGTCTCCAGCCTGGGCTGCAGCCCCCAGGAAGGCTCAAAACCCCCCGATACAGGTAGCAGAAGCAGGTAAACCGATAGTCAGGCAGGGGGGCAGGGCAGAGGGGTGGGATCCAGGTGAGGACGGTGCCATAACAGTCCACGTGGCTCCGGGCAAGCGGGGAGCAGGAGGAATCGCGTCTGGGTTCCCCGGTGCTGATCTGCGGCAGCATGGTGCGTGGCCCATGGGACGCGCCTGCTGGGTGATGCATTGGTATTTATAGCTGTGGTGCGGCAGGCCCCGGCTCCGCTGGCAGGCTTTCAAGATTGTCATTGAGAAAAGCGAGCGGTGCTTGGCATGGAGACGGGCTGGCGGGCAGGGGAAGGGCTGCGTATGCCAGCTCGGGGGGCAGCTGGGGGGCTGCAGCAGAGTCGGCACTGGCGGCGGGGGCTTGGATCCGTGTTGCTGGGAAAGACGTGTCCTTTCATAGACGTGGTCCCTCCCCGCAGAGAGCTGCAGGGATTCAGGTCTCAGCCAGCCCCTCTATGAATGATTGTGGGCTCCCCCACCATGCAGAGGATGCATGCCCCCCCAGCCAGGGGCCTGATCCTGCCGACCTGCACGGAGCCGAGTGCCAAAGCCTCTTCCCCATGGCGCTCTGGACCTTCAGCCCTGGGTCTAGCCTGCGTGCTGCTCAGTCGGGTCATCCTTCCCGGTGCTGCCCGGGCAGGGGTGCAGACACGGCCCCAGAGGCCTCTTATGGGGACACCAACCATGAGCCGCCGGTGGCTTTTGAACTGCGCACATCATGACTAATGCAGCACGTTCGCTCTCCATCCATCCCGGTCAGGCCTTCCCAGGCTTTTCCCAGGGTGGACTCTGCAAATATTAACCGTAGGGTGAGCTGGGTGTATGCAGTGTGCATGGACCAGACAAGGAGAATAGTCCCTGATCTACAGCAATTGCCTTCCACTAAGGATGCTGGAGATGAAGATAGGGCAAGAGAAAGGGAAGGATGTACGTGAGGCTATAGCAATGCAGCGCGTTAGCTCCTGCCCGGCAGCGGTAGGAAGCAGTTATCTGGGGCAGTCGAATTTTCTGCGGACTTTTTTATTGTTGTTGCAAAAAGCACCTGCTTTGCCTGGCAAGTGCTGAGATCTTGTCAAACCTGCTGCAGTGCTTCCCTGGGAAGTCTGAGTGCACGCAGGGTCCATCGCTGCCTGGATCGGAGTTGCGCAGTGGAAAAGCTTCAGCAAGAAGAGAAGCAAGCATCGAGTTGGCACTTCCCACAGCAGCAAAAATCAACCTCTCGGAGCCCTACATGGGCCAGTTATGGGGGAGATGGAGACAGACAGACAGACACTTTCTCTCTCAGATGATACATCAGCAGTAGGACCGTGCAGTTTGCATTCTCGTTTACCGTGCGAAGCTGCCATTGCTTGGGTGCTGGGCTTTTGTCCTCATCCAGGTGCCCTGCTTGCCCGTTCATTGGGCAGCTCCTCAAAGAGATGAGCAGTCTTACCAGACAGCATCCCCTGTGCAGAGACTCGGGGATCCTGCTTACAGAACAGCTTTACCCACACATATCTAGGTCTTTTTTTTTTCACCCCCACCACCTTCTCCTCTTAAGGCAGCAAAGCTTGCTCCCATAAATCATGCCTGGAACGTGATCTGCTGTCAAAACAAGAGGTGGGGCCAGGGCTCAACAGCTAGGATGAGTCTCTCGTGCATCAGGAGATCTCCCTGTTGGGGCTCTTAGAAATATCTCCCAGCTGCACACAGTGAAGGCTCAGTGCAGGGCTGGTCGCCCTGCGTTTGCTTCATCTAACTCGCCCGGGGCTCGCGCCTTGGGTATCTTAGCATGCAGCTGGCAGGGAGGGAAGCCAGCTCTTGTGGATGCAGAAAGGTGGCACTTGCAAGTAGGTCAGGACGGATGCTGACCTACTGGGATGAGATGGGTCCTAGCATAGAAGCACAGCAGCCGCAGCAACATTACCACGTCATTAGGAGGCTGATGCAAGCTGGCAGGAGTTGGCACCGTTTGATGCCAGTCCATTTGGGTTGGGAGAGCCCAGGGGTCAGCTCAGAGGCCCCCAAATGCACCTGCACCGCTTGAGCTGAAGGGGCAGCCCCAGTCTCTGGCAGCAGTAGTAGGATCGTAGGGAAGTCAGGCCGGAAGGGACCTCACGAGGTCGCATCTAGTCCAAGCAGGGTCTGCTCGGACTAAACCAGCCCAGCCAAGCCTCCTGCTCTTGGAAATGTCCGGGGATGGAGAGCCCATAACTCCTCTAGGCAGCCTGTTGACTGGCGATAGACTGGGATCCTCTAATGGACCAGCTGCAGCACACGTCCTGCCACTGGCCGTTACAGTCTCTGCTATTGCTTGTACAGTCCCTTGCACAATAGCGTCCAGGTCCAGGGGCTCCTGGGGCAGACGGTAGGATGTTGGTGGAGCAGGTAGGCGGCTGCTGCTGCGAAAAACTTCCAGGCCTGCTGCTGTGAGCTTCCTGCAGGCCTCTTTGCAGGGCCCTGGCTGGGCAGTCGGAGGCCTGTGGAGCAGGGGCCAGCTCGTTGCGTGTCACGTGCTGGACCGAGAACGCAGATGAAGCTAAAAATAGCTGCAAGGGATCTGAGGCCTGGGCTACTAGGGGCCGGGGTTTTGCACTGCTCCTGGGTACGTGTCTGAGAAGGTCAGGGCTGTGCTCTGAGCAGGGAATGGGTGATCTGGGCCACCCTTCGGTGCAAAAGATCGCTCAGAAATGCTTGCGACGGGAGCAGCTCAGGCTTCAACGTGCAGCTACCTCTCCTCCCTCCTCGTGCCCTGCCTGCTTGATCCTGCCGGCTGCCACGTCGCCCAGGAGAGAGCGCGCCCTTTCCCTTGGCAAAGGATTGTCTCATAACGGCTTGTTGCCTCCGTATCCACAGGACCCCGTTGGGACATGCATGGTGGCGGGGGGCATCCTGCGTGGTCCCGTCATTGTTGCTGCTAGTGTCGCGTAGCCCCTTAGGGCCTCCAGGTGGGATCAGGACCCACGTGCGCGCGTACACATAACAAAGGGCACAGGGATGGCGACCCCCTCGTCTCGGCCATAGGGTTTCTCTTTAGCAAGTGGGCACTGAGGGGGCTATTCTAGCTGGGCTCCCTTTGCTGGCTCTAGGATCTGGCCATCGAACCCCTGCTCCGATCTTCTCGTGCTGTCTCTGAACCCCCAGCGCTGCCGCAAGTGGTGCCTCTTCTCGGGGAGGAAACATTGCTGCTCTGCGGTGCAGGACGCAGGAGGGTCATGGCAGCAGAGCATCAGCAGTTAGTACAGATCAGCTGAGCTGGCGAAGCCGCCTGAGCGTCACTCCTTGGGAGGACCACGGGGGGCATCTCCCCCAAGCCGGGTACTAACAGCAGCTTTCGCCGCCTCCTAGATAAAGGTTGGATCCAGGAGGACTGGCCTCAGTCCTGACAAGCACCCACAGTCTCCAGGACTAGAGTCTTGCTGCCCTGCCCAGGCATATGGTCGAGATTTTCAAGCCAAGGGTCCTAGGGGATTTAGGCACCTGGCTCCTAGTGTGCATGCATTCCCATCCGATGCCTAGCTCCCTTGGGTTGCCCTTGAACGCTCTCCAGAGGATCGGAGCACCCCACGTCACCGAGTCGTCGTTCACGGGGATGGGGCTCGTGCTGTTCTCGGCTGGCGTCAGCCCTGGTTGGGGAGCTGGGGACAGCAAGGTGCCCCGCATGTCAGGTCTCCAGGAGTCATTGGAGCGATCTGGACTCGATCTGGGGCTTGGGTTGGCCCCTGCTACCGCAGCGTCAACGCTGCTCGTAGGCTTTCGTGCGTTCGGCCACATCCCCCCTCCAGCACCAAGGCCACCCCTCTCCCAAGACCTGGGCACGACCCCTATAACTAAGCTTCCAGGTGGGGGCACTTGGCCTGTTGCTCTTGTCTCATCCCCTCCCTGGGGCAACCAGTGAGTGCTGCATCACAGGGCCCCTGTGCTTGGGAAGAGAGTGGCTTTGCTAAGTTACTGTGGTTGGAGCAAAGCCCCCGCTCTCCCCAGTGAGGGTGAGCCGAAAAGCTGGGGTCTAGATTTCCAGAGATGCAGGCCTGGCCACGTATCGGGCATCCGTGTTCCCCCGGGCTCCTGCCACCGGGGAAATGGTGCTTTGTTCAAAGGATCCGCTCTGTCCGGCACGATCAGCCCCCTCTGACGTGGGGCGGGGGGTGAAGTGGGGGCTGGGGTGAATGTCTCCCGCCATGGGTGCCTCGCGACTGATCCTCTCTCTCCTTTCTCTGCACAGCTGTACGAGCTGGACAGCGACCCCAAGAGGAAAGAGTTCCTGGACGACCTCTTCAGCTTCATGCAGAAGCGAGGTGAGGCACGCCGCGCCGTCCTGGCATGCATGTGCATGCGTGTTGGCTCCCTCTCCCCGCCTCGCGGGGTCCAGAAGCGTTCGGGGATCCACTGGGTTTCTTTCCTCTGGCGGGTCCTAGGCTTTGCTTGAGCCCCCCCACTTTCCTTTGCTCCGGATAGACCCTCTCTGCGAGGCTCAGCAGCAGAATCCCTCATCGGAGCCAGACTCGGGTTCCCCCGGCTGCTCTGCCCACCTCCCCGCTGTGCATCCACTCGCATCCAAGTGGCTGGACACGGCCTCACCCTGCACCCGGATAAAAACCCCAGACTCCTTCCTCCCAATACTCCATGGGCCAGATCTAGTCTCGCCTCCAACGCGCCTTCCTAGCACCTCGTAGGCTCCAAGCAGGAATCACTGCTGTAATAACGTGATGCGATCGCTGCGGGTGTAGGAAAGTCCCCGTCTCCCTGGCCAGGTAGCTTGGAGTGAACCAGAAAGCTTGGGCCCAGCTTTCCAAAGGCGGAAATGAGCTCCGTGTAGAGACGTGTCCTCTTAGCCAACCCTGCTCTAAGGCTAGCGACTTGTAGGGAAAAAAAATGCCTGGGCTGTTAACAGAGCACTGACAGGTTCAGGGCGTGTGTTTTTGAGTCCCTTCGTGGCCGTGCAAGCCCCATAGATCGGTGCCGCTCACACCTCCGCCCCTGTGGGCTGCATGAGGGGACCGGGGCTGCTCTGTGGGCTGGATCCCATAGGTAGGATCTGTCCGTGGGGCTGGATCCGGCGTGGGGTGAGTGCACCCTGCATGCTGAATTAGTCCACAGAGCCACCCCATACACGGGCAAGCCAGATCGTGTCGTCCAGCCCATGGGGCTCTCCATGGGTCTAGAAATTTGACCCCGGGGGAGCAGTGGCGGCCTGAATTGCCACCACTGTGGATCCAGCCCACGGGTGGGAGGTTGAGCACCACTGCCTTGCATTAGGCTGAAAGGGCTCCATCCGTGCCAAGACCTCGGCCCCGTTTCTGCTCACTTTGTTCGCCAGCTGCGGTGTTCATAGCGGGGACAATGGGAGTAGAGGAGTCAGCTTCTCTTTCCTTCCCCTCCATGTCCAGTGAATTTCTTCTCTCCAGATCCCTCCTGCTGACCCAGCACCGGAGGCTGGCGGTTCTCAGCACTGCCCCATTAGACTGCTGTCTTTCGGGGGGAAAATAGTTGGCCTTAAATTGCTGGACTGTTGGTTCAAATCCAGTTCTTTGGCGTGTCGGCCTGGGGGTGAAAGCTGCACAAAAGGACTCACGCAAGGTACTTGCACTGTAGAAGATCCCTCTAAACCATAGGGCAGTGGCTGTCGACCTTCTTAGACCCCCGGAGCCCCTCTCAGAAAATGCCGGCTCTGAGCTTTCACTTGTTTTTTTGACGACTGAAAACTCCTAGAGCGATTCTTCTCGTCCAGACAATTCAGACAGGGTAGGACGGTTTTGCCGTACAGGTTCCTGTTGGCAGTCTCTGGGTGTATCTAGGGAATCGTGTGTAAGCGCTTGCACACCTGACCATGCTAATATTGAGGCTAGGATCTCGCAGGGCCCTGTGGCACCCTGGTCAAGAAGCGTGGCTCTGAGGACTCGGGTCTGCAGCGAGGATCACCCCAAGGACCTTGTGGATTCCTACCAACTAAGGGTCTGAGCCACAGAAACTTCTATGGTGGAGGAAAGCAAGCTGGGATGCAGCTGGGGGGACATGGGACCCCTGAGCCTCATCTGTGCTGTAGCAAAAACCCCCTTGAAGGCCGATCCAACCTCGCGCCCTCCACGCTAAAACATCCAGCAGTGCATGAGGGGAGAGCCTTGGGGATGGGAAGTCCAGGTTTTCCTTGGAGCCAGGATCTGGTTGGGGGCATGGGGTGGGGGCTTTGGAGGTGATCTTCCGCAGGCACAAGTGCAAAATTGCTCTCGGTGCCAGGAGTGTGCAGAGAAGTGCAAGCAGGTGTGTGCCCGGTGCGGGGGTCAGCGAGGAGGTGAGCGGTACAAGACAAAGCAGGCAGCCCCCACCCCCCACAAGGTAGGAGGAGAAAGCCCAGCAGGAATTTTTTCTTCAGATAAAGGGAGGCCTGTTCCCAACCAACCGTGGCAGGGCCAGTCATGAGCATGTAGTCACCAGGGCGTGTGACTCAGCCCCGCGGGCTGGTGACTCCCCTTGGAGAGCAGAGACGTCGCCTATTGCCCTCGCCGAATGGATCCTGCACGGCCCGGGTACGGGGTCTGGGGGAGGATCCCCGCCAGCTCCAGGGGCAGGGGCCCGAGGACCCCCATTGCATCCTCGGTGTGGACCCGAAGTGGCACGTGGTGGAAGGGGACGCTTGAGGGGACAGGGCTAGAGCTGCCCACGGTGCAAGGTGGCAGCCGATGCCCAGCGCAGACCTGAAGCTTGGGGGAGGAGGGGGATTTATGCTGGCAGGCTCCAAGTCCTCCAGCTCTTGCTTCTTGCAGTTGAGCGGTGGGGGGCAGGAAGGGGCCAGGCACTGCCTCTGTTTCCAATGGGAGGGTATTTGCCTCAGTTGAGGGCCCTGCTTCCCAAGGAAGTCAGGTAAGGCTGGCAGCGCCGATACGCCGGGGTCTGCCTGGGGCTGGGGAAGACCCTTGGCCAGTTCTCCTCCCTGGCACTGCTTTGCGGAGTGACCTTGGGCAAGACCGTCGACCTCTCCCTGCTGGAGAGAGGCCAAGCAAAGCCTTCCTTCTCCTCCTCTGCCCTGGGGGCCGGCCCCTGATGCAATGGGGCCCCGATCCCTTTCCGCCCCGGTGCTCCCATAACGCAGTGCTCCTGCTGCTGCCAGTGCCCGCAGCCAGGAAAGGTTTTAACGAGGACAGCCCCCTTCGGCAGTGCCCCTAGCCCCTTCCCTTCCTCTGGGTGGGAGCTGCAATTAGCAGCCTCACAATGGTGTGGGGAGCTTTGGTTCCTGGGTTTGAAGAAGGCAATAAATCAATACCGGAAGGAGCAGGAGGGAGGGGAAACCCTCCTCTGCTTCCGCGGTCCCCTGCCCACCCCCACCCCTCGTGTAATGGCCCGAGTGGACTTCCTCTTTGCCCTTTTCCCCTCCACAATAAACCAGCCCAGGCCTCCCTCCAGCTCCCCAGCTCTCCTGTTTGGCCCTTGAGTCAGGGGCATGAGCATGGAGGGCTGCGAGTGATGAATGGAGGGATTATAACCCAGCCCAGAGCAGATCGCAGATGGGCTCTCTGCCTCCTTGCATAAACATCCTCTCCCCCTCCCTTCCCATCCGCCCCCGCCCCAGCTCTGTGATAAGATGGTCCCGGCGGGGCCGCACTACCCAGCTGCCTGCTCCCCGCATGGGGGATCCAGCCTTAGGGTTTCGCCCTTTCCTCCACGTGCACGCCCGGATCAGGGCGGCTGGTTGCACGCCTGCTTGCTGTGCATTCGCGTGTCACTCGCCCAGGTGATTTGGAGCTCGCTAGTTGTGCACATCGCCCCCATGTCTTCTCCTTTGGGGGCAGGTCCAGCACCATCAGGGCAGGCAGCGTGCCTGGTTTGATCTTGCTCGGCACCGAGGCCTCTGAGACCCCAGATGCCCACCACCTTTAGTGGCACGTGGTCTGGCTCCCCGGCACAGGGTGCAATGGATCATAAATGCCCCTCTTTGGCCCCTGATTTCCCAGCGGGCTGGGGTAAATCTTATCCCTCCGGAGGAGCAGGGCCTGGCGCAGATTGGGGCAGGTGCGGGGTGGGGGGGAACATGGCTGAAGCGGATATGGGAGACCATCTCCTCCTCTGCCTCTTCCTGGTAAAAGCCGCTCCATGGGCCATGCTCACAGCTGCCCGCGGCTTTCAGGGGCAGGACCTGGGCTAACGAGCACCTGTCCCTGCCTCCAAAATGCCATCGGCCAGGCAGGAGAGCGACTGCTACAGATGGTGAAGCCCAGGGGCAGGAGCTGGGGGTGCGTCTGATGCTGAAAGCAAAGACGCCGGAGGAGCCGATACTGGGTGGATGGGTCGGCCTCCACCCCGCTGCATTCCCAGAGGCCATCTGGTCCCTCCCTGGCTGCCTGGAGCCTCCTAGGGATCTGCCCCAACTATGACCGTGCCACAGAGCAGGCGGCCGGTTCTGTATCCAAACCTCGTCCCACGCTTCCGCCCGCCCAGGTCCCACCCGAGCAGCGGGGGAGCAGAGCTGTGAATGGAAATCTTTGAACAGCCCCATGCATGTGCCCCCTCATTGCATTCCCCGCGTGCTCTGGGAAGGCAGCTCAGTTCCTGCCTTCCAGCCCCTGGCATTCAAGGGGCCTTCCTGCCCGGGGCGGCTCAGAAGTGGTCGTTCGCCAGCAGGTCCCCTGCTCTGACTCCCGGTGGGTTCCCAGGAACTGCGACAAAGATTGAGGCCCCATTGTGGGTGTATGGGCAGTGACAGACGCCCCCGTGCCCTGCAGGGCCTTTCCTCGGAGGGGAAACCAAGGCACAAAGCAGGGAAGTCTTGCCTGAAGTCCTGTGCCCAGGATGGGTGTTGACCCCAGCTGTCTGCAGCCCAGCTCTCTCCAGCTCATCCGTGTTCCCCTTTTCCATCCTGCAGGGACCCCTGTGAACCGGATCCCCATCATGGCCAAGCAGGTGCTGGACCTGTACATGCTCTACATGCTGGTGACCGAGAAGGGCGGCCTCGTGGAAGTGATCAACAAGAAGCTGTGGCGGGAGATCACCAAGGGGCTCAACCTGCCCACGTCCATCACCAGCGCTGCCTTCACGCTGCGGACCCAGTGAGTGTTGCCCCCCACCACCCATCTCACCCAGCTGATCGGCTGCAGGCCAGTATCCACCCCGGCATGGTGGGAGAAAGGTCCCCGATCCCCTGGGTGTTGGGTGGCTCCCTCCCTTCCAAGGCACTCAGCTTCCTCTCTTGGTCTTGTGCCCTGCTCCAGCTTGGAGGAAAAGAGAGGGGCTGTTTGTTTGCTGTGTTGCAGCAGGGCAGGAATGAGGAAGGAGTCCTGTCTGGGGAGAACGTGGTTGTGGCCAGCAAATGCGTGTCCGGAGCATGTCCCGCACGTGGCTGTGGGACCTGAGCTGGGGCAGGGGAACATGGAGGGGTTGGGCTTCCTCAGATCTCCACTTCCTTCCAGCCCCGTGCACCATGCACACTGCCCCTCCCGGCCCTGGGCTCACCTCCTGGCATGGGGGAATGAACCCTGGAGCACAGAGCCCTGGGTAGGCAGGGCGGTGCGTGTGTCTGCATGTGTGTCATCTTTGCGTGTGTGTGTGTATCTGTCTGTGTCTGCATGTTTCTTGTGTTTGCATAGGTGTTTGTGTGTGTGTGTCCATGTATGTGTGGGGGTGTGTCTGCTTGTCTTCTTTGCATATGTGCGTGTATTTGTCTATGTGTGTATCTGTGTCTGCATGTGTCTCTGTCTGTATATGTGTAGGTGTGTGTGTGCATGTATGAGTGTGTCTGTGTCTTTGCATACATCTCTGTGTCTACGTGTGTAGGTGTGTGTGCATGTATGAGTGGGGCTATGTCTGCATATATGTGTGCGTCTCTGTGTGGGCATCTCTGTCTGTGTCTTGTGTGTGTAGGTGTGTGTCTGCGTGTGTGCATGTATGAGCGTCTATATTTGTGTATGTGTCTGTGTATCTGTGTTTGCATGCATCTGTGTG